CTGTGACTCGAGGAACACAGCTATCACTAGCTGAGTGACCTGTCTTCCAGAACCTGCATCTCAGCTTACCTGGCCTGTCTACGAGAACCTGCATCTCAGCTTACCTGACCTGTCTACGAGAACCTGCATCTCAGCTTAAATGGCCTGTCTACGAGAACCTGCATTTCAGCTTACCTGGCCTGTCTACGAGAACCTGCATCTCAGCTTACCTGACCTGTCTACGAGAACCTGCATCTCAGCTTACCTGGCCTGTCTACGAGAACCTGCATCTCAGCTTACCTGGCCTGTCTACGAGAACCTGCATCTCAGCTTACCTGACCTGTCTACGAGAACCTGCATCTCAGCTTACCTGACCTGTCTACGAGAACTGCATCTCAGCTTACCTGCCTGTCTACGAGAACCTGCATCTCAGCTTACCTGACCTGTTTACGAGAACCTGCATCTCAGCTTACCCGACCTGTCTACGAGAACCTGCATCTCAGCTTACCTGGCCTGTTACGAGAACCTGCATCTCAGTTACCTGGCCTGTCTACGAGAACCTGCATCTCAGCTTACCTGACTGTCTACGAGAAACCTGCATCTCAGCTTACCTGGCCTGTCTACGAGAACCTGCATCTCAGCTTACCTGACCTGTCTACGAGAACCTGCATCTCAGCTTACCTGGCCTGTCTACGAGAACCTGCATCTCAGCTTACTGACCCGTCTACGAGAACCTGCATCTCAGCTTACCTGGCCTGTCTACGAGAACCTGCATCTCAGCTTACCTGGCCTGTCTACGAGAACCTGCATCTCAGCTTACCTGGCCTGTCTACGAGAACCTGCATCTCAGCTTACCTGGCCCGTCTACGAGAACCTGCATCTCAGCTTACTGACCTGTCTACGAGAACCTGCATCTCAGCTTACCTGGCCTGTCTACGAGAACCTGCATTTCAGCTTACCTGGCCTGTCTACGAGAACGTGCATCTCAGCTTACCTGACCTGTCTACGAGAACCTGCATCTCAGCTTACCTGACCTGTCTACGAGAACGTACACTCTATGCTAACCTTCCTGTGAGTCTCTGGACTCCAGGAAGCTGTCAATAATGCGAGAATCTTAACAGAAGTCCTGGACTTTGAAAGTTAAAAGGACTCCAGGATACTGGAAACTGACAGGAAGAATTCCAAGCCCTCGGAAGCTGGTAAGATTCCAGGTCGTAAGAGCTGTCAGATCTCCAGGCATCTAGGAGGTTGTGATGCTGCAAGAGTCCGGGACCTGGCGGGACTTCAGGTTCTGGAAGCTGACAGGACTCCAGGTCCTGGAAGGACTTGCAATCTGGAAGTAACGTTAACTGAGGAACGAAAATAATGAAGAAAGCAGGGGAGAGAGAGAGAGAGATAAAGAGAGAGAGAGAGAGAGAGAGAGAGAGAGAGAGAGAGAGAGAGAGAGAGAGAGAGAGAGAGAGAGAGAGAGAGAGAGAGAGAGAGAGAGAGAGACCTTAGATTCAGGTTTTTAATCTCTATTCTTTAAGTTTTCTTCACTCTTTCATTATTTTGTTTCCTATTTTTTCGCTCTTGGGGTTAGAATATGAGAAGAGAAAGATGAAGAGCTTGTTGAGTAGGTTGTGACTCCCAGCGTCTTGGGTTACTTTATCCCGTCCCCAGCCCGTCCCCAGCCCGTCCCCAGCCCGTCCCCAGCCCGTCCCCAGCCCGTCCCCAGCCCGTCCCCAGCCCGTCCCCAGCCCGTCCCCAGCCCGTCCCCAGCCCGTCCCCAGCCCGTCCCCAGCCCGTCCCCAGCCCGTCCCCAGCCCGTCCCCAGCCCGTCCCCAGCCCGTCCCTAGCCCGTCCCAAGCCCGTCCTCAACGTCCTCCCAGCCTGCTCTAAGCCCGACCCTCAGCTTCACAGCTTACCGCTTGTGTAAAGCTGCCGCGGCTACTGAGCACAGTGGAGTGCTCGATGGTATTCTCATGATATACTGAAGTCTCTCAGCTCAGTCTGACACCTACTGAAGTCTCTCAGCTCAGTCTGACACCTATTGAAGTCTCTCAGCTCAGTCTGACACCTACTGAAGTCTCTCAGCTCAGTCTGACACCTATTGAAGTCTCTCAGCTCAGTCTGACACCTACTGAAGTCTCTCAGCTCAGTCTGACACCTATTGAAGTCTCTCAGCTCAGTCTGACACCTACTGAAGTCTCTCAGCTCAGGCTGACACCTGCTGAAGTCTTCCGGCTCAGGCTGACACCTACTGAAGTCTTTTTCCCGGCCAGGCTGACACCCGCTGAAGTCTTCCGGATCAGGCTGACACCTGCTGAAGTCTTCCGGCTCAGGCTGACACCTGCTGAAGTCTTCCGGCTCAGGCTGACACCTGCTGAAGTCTTCCGGCTCAGGCTGACACCTGCTGAAGTCTTCCGGCTCAGGCTGACACCTGCTGAAGTCTTCCGGCTCAGGCCGACTCACTTCGTTACCTAAGGCATGTATCTCTTCATGTATGACGGAGTACTACAGGAGAGCTCATCTTGTGTTAAGGTATAATAGGAAACTCATCCTGCGTGATGGAGTGCGACAGGAAACCTCGTGAAAGGTAAAAAAAAAACAAAAACAAAAACAAAAGAATGCGTGAGAGGACATAAATATCAATACACAAAGTGTGAAATATTGTGTAACTGATGTTTGACTCACAAATACCGGCAAGTCTACATGTTATAGTTTCCCGTGTGTGAGACCTTGCCACAGACTGTAGTAACCACAGACTGTAGCAGCCACGGACTGTGAGGTCACACCCGCCAGTGATGGTTGTATCCAAGCAACTTGCTAGACACTTATGGTGTTGCTGGTGGCGTCTGCTGCTACTTGCCCTTGACGCATATGTCCTGCCTTATTCAGCAAGCCACACGGGATCTTGAACCTGTAAACCGGAAAGTGACTGTGGCAGCTTTGATGCTGGCGAGAAAGAAACATGGAGGGAATTTCTTGCAGTCCATGCTGTCTTACGAACTCCAGTTTTGACTGTGGACTCAGGGAAGAAGAGATAGCAGAGCCAGAACAGATACAAGCATCATTCGTGGCCAACGTTGAACCAATAAAGCATTTAAATTACTGAGAGCACCTTAGAGTCTTAGATATGTGCTCGCTGGAATGGCAGAGAGAAATACATGATAATACATAACTGGAAGGTATTAGAGGGCCTAATTCCAAATCTACACACTGCCATACCAACATACTGGAGTGAGAGCCATGGAAGGAAGTGTAAATTCAACCCAGTGAAAAGCAGAGGCGCAGTGGGCACAATAAGAGAACATTGTATCAACAGTCCGTGGTCTCAGACTTTTCACCATCTTAACAGAAGATATCAGTAACACTACTGGGACTAGTATAGACGTCTTCAAGAGAAAACTCGACAATTTCCTCCGCTATGTGCCAGAAAAACCAGTTTGTGGTGTAATATAAGGGACAGCAGGACTCAACAACCTGCTTGATCAGGCAGGCATTAGACAAGCCTGACCCAGGGCCAAGCTCCGAAAGTAGGGAAACTCTCGAAACCCTTCAAAGGTATACCGGGAGGCATGGTCTGAAACCGGGCCACAGGGGCTGTAACCTCCGGAAGCGACAACAGGTAACTTTCAGTTAACCTACATGTAACCTACATGCAACCTACATGTAACCTACATGTAACCTACATGTAACCTACATGTAACCTGCAGGTTAGTTAAGCTAAGATGAAGTCAGTACATAAAATCAATAATGAGAGCCACTAGAAGCAGTGTACACAATTATATTTTCAGAAGAGACCATTCTTGGGAGAACATGTAACTGAGAACCAGCGAGAACACTGACAGTGTGTTTTCGACTGTCATGAGTTATATCAACAACAAAAACCTGTTTTGAAGAGAACATATTGTTAGGAGAGTAATGAGGCAGGAAATCTGACGGGAGAGATTGTTGTCTCTGGGTCTGGAAGGGAGAAATTATGGAAGATCGAGCAAGATAGCGTAAGAGTTATATGTGGATTTGTTAGCGGTGTGAGCTACAGGACTGAAAAAAAATATGACATTTATGTGTGATGGATTTCAGATTTTGCCCAGAGGGACGAGTTTGTTATGAAGTGAGACTCGTGCTGTGAGTGAACACAGTACTGTTATAGCAGCACTGGACAGTGACACTCATGCTGTAACACAGTACTGTTATAGCAGCACTGGACAGTGACACTCATGCTGTGGGTGAACACAGTACTGTTATAGCAGCACTGGACAGTGACACTCATGCTGTAACACAGTACTGTTATAGCAGCACTGGACAGTTACACTCATGCTGTGAGTGAACACAGTACTGTTATAGCAGCACGACATGAACATGGAGAACAGTTGTTAGCACACTGGACAGTACACTCATGCTGTGAGTGAACACAGTACTGTTATAGCAGCACTGGACAGTGACACTCATGCTGTGAGTGAACACAGTACTGTTATAGCAGCACTGGACAGTGACACTCATGCTGTGGTGAACACAGTACTGTTATAGCAGCACTGGACAGTTACACTCATGCTGTAACACAGTACTGTTATAGCAGCACTGGACAGTGACACTCATGCTGTAACACAGTACTGTTATAGCAGCACTGGACAGTGACACTCATGCTGTGAAACAGTACTGTTATAGCAGCACTGGACAGTGACACTCATGCTGTAACACAGTACTGTTATAGCAGCACTGGACAGTGACACTCATGCTGTAACACAGTACTGTTATAGCAGCACTGGACAGTGACACTCATGCTGTAACACAGTACTGTTATAGCAGCACTGGACAGTGACACTCATGCTGTAACACAGTACTGCTATAACAGTACTGGACATTGACACTCATTCTCTGAATGAACATACCACTGTTATGGGAGTACTGGGCAGTGCCACTCGTGTTGAGTGAACATACACTTCAGGTCAAACAGCTGACATCCTGGTAACGATGACAACCTGATCCTGGAAGCAAGATCGTTACCATTAACCTCTGAATGTTCTCCCTTTTAGACTGGCTTCATCAACACTGACCACGACGAGTACTTGATCGAGCCGGTACGTGACCACCCTCAGACTGCCCCTGGAGAGGCTGAGAGTGCCCATGACAACCCACACCCTCATGTTGTGTACAAACGTTCAGCCCTGCCCACACCAGGTGAAAACGTGTGCTCTACACCAGGTAAGTGTTTCTCTGCCCTCTTCAATTTATAAGCTGCAACTTAAGCTCATTTCCACGCTCAGCTCTCTTCAAGGTCTGCAACTGCTCCCCTGGGTAACAATGGTGTACTGTCAGCCCGCTCCCTTCTAAGACCTCCTACCTGGCTCCTACCTGGCTCCTACCTGGCTCCTACCTGGCTCCTACCTGGCTCCTACCTGGCTCCTACCTGCCTGCTACCTATCCTACCTCCCTCCCACCTGGCTCCTACTTAGGTTCTACCTGGATGAGGGGAAGGCTCATGTGTCGACCACTGGTAAGTAAAAAAGACGAGGAAGTTACTCCTCCTCCGAGGGGCTGGTATCAACTAGTCGAGAGAGAGAGAGTCAGTACGCAGCTTCAGGAGATCAGAAACAAGGAGTTCTGGTCAACGTAGCATAAGAAGCAAGGTTACAGACACACACACACACACACACACACACACACACACACACACACACACACACACACACACACACGAGACAGAAAGGATTCCAGAAAAATGGAGAGGTGGGGTACACCATCAAATGTCGGACACAATACATACAACCGAGGAAGAAGTGAAGAGGCTGCTAAGCGAACTAGATACCACAAAGGCGATGGGGCCGGAAAACATCTCTCCATGGGTCCTGAGAGAGGGAGCAGAGGCGCTATGTGTACCACTAACAACAATCTTCAACACATCTATCGAAAAGGGCGATTACCTCAGGTATGGAAGACAGCAAATGTAGTCCCAGTTTTTCAAAAAAGAGACAGACATGAGTCATTAAACTACAGACCATGTATAGTAAGCAAAGTCATGGAGAAGATTATCAGGAGAAGAGTAGTGAAGCACCTAGAGATGAATGAACTTGTCAACGACAACCAGCACGGTTTCAGGGATGGGAAATCCTGTGTCATAAACCTACTGGAGTTCTATGATAGGGTGACAGCAGTAAGACAAGAGAGGATGGGGTGGGTAAATTGCACTTTCTTGGACTGTAAGAAGGCTTTTGACACAGTTCCACACAAAAGATGAGTGCAAAAGCTGGAGGACCAGGCAGGGATAACATGGAGGGCACTGCAATGCTTCAGGGAATACCTGTTGGAAAGACAACAGCAAATCATGGTACGTGGCGAGGTGTCAGAGCGGACGCCTGTGAGGAGCAGTGTTCCACAAGGGTCAGTCCTAGGACCTGGAGTTTACCTGGAGAGAGCTCCAGGGGTCAACGCCCCCGCGGCCCGGTCTGTGACCAGGTCTCATGGTTGATCAGGGCCTGATCAACCAGGCTGTTACTGCTGGCTGCAATCCAACGTACGAACCACAGCCCGGCTGGTCAGGTATCGACTTTAGGTGCTTGTCCAGTGCCTGCTTGAAGACAGCCAGGGATCTATTGGTAAGCCCCCTTATGTATGCTGGGAGGCAGTTGAACAGTTTTAGGCCCCTGACACTTATTGTGTTATCTCTTAACGTGCTAGTGACACCCCTGCTTTTCATTGGGGGATGTTGCATCGTCTGCCGAGTCTTTTGCTTTCGTAGGGAGTGATTTTCGTGTGCAAGTTCGGTACTAGTCCCTCTAGGATTTTCCAGGTGTATATAATCATGTATCTCTCCCGCCTGCGTTCCAGGGAGTACAGGTTGAGGAACTTCAAGCGCTCCCAGTAATTGAGGTGTTTTATCTCAGTTATGCGCGCCGTGAAGGTTCTCTGTACATTTTCTAGGTCGGCAATTTGAGCTGCCTTGAAAGGTGCTGTTAGTGTGCAGCAATATTCCAGCCTAGATAGAACAAGCAACCTGAAGAGTGTCATCATGGGCTTGGCATCCCTAGTTTTTAAGGTTCTTATTATCCATCCTGTCATTTTTCTAGCAGATGCGATTGATACAGTGTTATGGTCCTTGAAGATGAGATCCTCCGACATGATCACTCCCAGGTCTTCGACGTTAGTTTTTCGCTCTGTTGTGTGGTTGGAATTTGTTTTATACTCTGATGCTGTTTCTGGTATATGTGAAAGACATGACGGAGGGAATAGACTCCGAAGTGATGTGAAGTTAATGAGAATAATTCAATCGGACGAGAACCAGGCAGAACTACAAAGGGATCTGGACAGTCTGCAGGCCTGGTCCAGCAACTGGCTCCTGGAGTTAAACCCCATCAAGTGCAAAGCCATGAAGATTGGGGAAGGGCAAAAAAAACTGCGAACGGAGTACAGTCTAGGGGGGCCAGAGACTAAAAATCTCACTCAAGGAAAAGGATCTTGGGGTGAGTATAACACCAGGCACATCTCCTGAAGCGCACATCAACCAAATAACTGCTACAGCATATGGGCGCCTAGCAAACCTAAGAACAGCATTCCGACATCTTAATAAGGAATCGTTCAGGACCCTGTACACCGTGTACGTTAGACCCATATTGAAGTATGCGGCACCAGTTTGGAACCCACACCTAGCCAAGCACGTAAGAAAATTAGAGAAAGTGCAAAGGCTTGTAACAAGACTAGTCCCGGAGCTAAATGACATGGAGGACAGGAGAGCTAGGGTTGGGGGATATGATAACGTATAAAATACTGAGAGGAATCGACAAGGTAGACAGAGACAGGATGTTCCAGAGATGAAACACAGCAACAAGGGGTCACAGTTGGAAGCTAAAGATTCAAATGAATCACAGAGATTTTAGGAAACATTTCTTCAGTCACAGAGTTGTCAGGAAGTGGAAAAGTAAGTGAAATAGTCTAGGAAGTGATGTAGTGGAGGCAGGATCCATACATAGCTTTAAGAAGAGGTATGATAAAGCTCATGGAGTAGGAAAAGCCACCTAGTAGCGACCAGTGAAGAGGCGTGGCCAGGAACTGTGACTCGACCGCTGCAACCACAACTAGGTGAGTACAAATAGGTGAGTACACACACAGCGTCTAGACACAAGGGTCGAGGCGCCAGTGTACTGGGAGTTACCCGGGAACATCCCCTGGAGGAACTTACACACCCTGACTCTACCTTCGCGCCACCCTGACTCTACCTTCACGTCACCCTGACTCTACCTTCACGTCACCCTGAATCTACCTTCACGTCACCCTGACTCTACCTTCACGTCACCCTGACTCTACCTTCACGTCACCCTGACTCTACCTTCACGCCACCCTGACTGCCTTTACGTCACCCTGACTCTAACCTCACGTCACCCTGACTCTACCTTCACGTCACCCTGACTCTACCTTCACGTCACCCTGACTCTACCTTCACGTCACCCTGACTACCCTCACGTCACTCTGACTCTACCTTCACGTCACCCTGACTACCCTCACGTCACTCTGACTCTACCTTCAACACCCTCAGCTCATCCTGCACCTCTTACCTGTAGCCCTGCACAGGTCAAGAAGTCTTCTTGATCCGTCTTTCTCACATCATTTAACGAACACTGATCCTCTTATCAACACAACGAACGCTAACCGTGTTCGGTGTTCGCTTGTCTACGTTAAATTCCATCCTGCATTTCTCTTCGTCTTCTCTACAATTCTTGTCATCTTTTCTAAACCTTCTTATGAAGATACACGTCTATTTTTGTTACGTAATTTACTTACTCTCTTCTTTTCTACGTAATATACGTATTTAATTATTTCGCTGTTTACTATATTACTTCTGGTAAAAATTTTGTCTCGACGTAGATGTGACTTACAGACATAAACATTGTGTCCCATGCTTCTCACAGACATAAACATTGTGTTCCATGCTTCTGACAGACATAAACATTGTGTTCCATGCTTCTGACAGACATAAACATTGTGTACCATGCTTCTGACAGACATGAACATTGTGTTCCATGCTTCTGACAGACATGAACATTGTGTACCATGCTTCTGACAGACATAAACATTGTGTTCCATGCTTCTGACAGACATGAACATTGTGTACCATGCTTCTGACAGACATGAACATTGTGTACCATGCTTCTGACAGACATGAACATTGTGTTCCATGCTTCTGACAGACATGAACATTGTGTACCATGCTTCTGACAGACATAAACATTGTGTTCCATGCTTCTGACAGACATGAACATTGTGTACCATGCTTCTGACAGACATGAACATTGTGTTCCATGCTTCTCACAGACATAAACATTGTGTACCATGCTTCTGACAGACATAAACATTGTGTCCCATGCTTCTCACAGACATAAACATTGTGTTCCATGCTTCTGACAGACATAAACATTGTGTACCATGCTTCTGACAGACATAAACATTGTGTACCATGCTTCTGACAGACATGAACATTGTGTTCCATGCTTCTGACAGACATAAACATTGTGTACCATGCTTTGACAGACATAAACATTGTGTACCATGCTTCTGACAGACATGAACATTGTGTTCCATGCTTCTGACAGACATAAACATTGTGTACCATGCTTCTGACAGACATAAACATTGTGTACCATGCTTCTGACAGACATAAACATTGTGTACCATGCTTCTGACAGACATAAACATTGTGTTCCATGCTTCTGACAGACATAAACATTGTGTTCCATGCTTCTGACAGACATAAACATTGTGTACCATGCTTCTGACAGACATAAACATTGTGTACCATGCTTCTGACAGACATAAACATTGTGTCCCATGCTTCTGACAGACATAAACATTGTGTTCCATGCTTCTGACAGACATGAACATTGTGACCCATGCTTCTGACAGACATAAACATTGTGTTCCATGCTTCTGACAGACATAAACATTGTGTTCCATGCTTCTGACAGACATGAACATTGTGTTCCATGCTTCTGACAGACATAAACATTGTGACCCATGCTTCTGACAGACATAAACATTGTGTTCCATGCTTCTGACAGACATAAACATTGTGTACCATGCTTCTGACAGACATAAACATTGTGACCCATGCTTCTGACAGACATAAACATTGTGTACCATGCTTCTGACAGACATAAACATTGTGTTCCATGCTTCTGACAGACATGAACATTTGTGTTCCATGCTTCTGACAG